TTTTTGTATATTATATAATTTATATTTTATTAATTTGATATTATTTTATTTTATTAAAATTTGAACTTAAATATAATATTATATATAATAATATTTTTATATGTAGTTTAAAATTTTTTTACAAGTAGAAGATTAAATATACTTTTCATTATAATAAAATTAAGGATGCAACGAGACATTACATAATAAATATGCAAAGAATTAAAAGAGATTGAATCCCTAACTAAGATATGAGCCACAATATTAATTGTAAAGTAATTGAATTGTGAAGGATGGAAACAATGTTATTAGAATCGAATTGATTATCAACTTAGTTAAGGTATTAGGTAGGACAACAATAATACATTAAAAATATTAAATGAGTTGATTGATGATCACATTTCATAGATTATGAAATAGAGATATTACGTTAGATATGTTGTGTGACACCCTTACTACCCCAACACATATATAAAAAAAATTATAATACATTTAAGAAGGTTTAAATTTTCTAAGTTGGTAAAAGGGTTCACATAAAAATTCGACAATCACATTAATAGAGATTTAAAACATAAAACACAAGAGTTTTACAAATTGTTTTCAAAACAATATTACAGTGCCAAATACACATAAATATTTCATCCTAGAAATCCTCTGCCCCGATGTCACACTATCAGAGCATTCCCAGAATTTTAACTGTTGGCATCCTAGAAGCCACTCGTAGCTGGATCTTCTTCTCCTAAAATATCCACAGTTTATACGGTGAGAAAAGAAAATATCTATATGCAAAGTACATACAAACACATCACAATATAATCTCATAATAACTCATTATTTAATAAAATATTCATAAGCATTTATCTATATATATATATATATATATATGTGTGTGTGTATCATAATTTATCAACCATTCATCATATTCACATCTCAATTCACAATTACATCAATCCATCACAATCCACTTGAACATTACAATTCATTCATAATCCACACAAATTTCACTATGTCAAGGTCACGCTACCCTTTTTCCAACCTAGGGCCGTGCTCACCCCTGACATAACACTGTGCCAAGGTCACGCTACCCTTTTTAGTAGCCTAGGGCCGTGCTCACCCCTGACATAATACTGTGCCAAGGTCACGCTACCCATCAGCTTAGGGTCGTGCTCACCCCTGGTCATCAGTACCATAATCACATCTCATTCACATCTCAATCACATTCCACACTTCTCATTTCATAACTCAAATTCACATCACGTACATAATTCCACATCACATACACATCACATACACAACAGATAAGCCCAACAAAATGAGGGTTTACACACCCCTCAAGCAATTCACATCAAGATCATCCATTCTTAACGAGTAATATAGCAATAATATTCATAAATTATAATAATCAATAAGATAATCAATTTAATATAACAGTGAAACTCATAATTATTCCAAATTCTAGTTCACAGCATTTATGATTTCTTCTTTCTTCCCAGATCATTATTCCTACAATTTGGCATATCTATAAACCTCAACACATAATTTCAATAGAACTAATGATTCTTCAAATAAAATAATTATAAAATCATAATCCTAAGAAATTCTTCCTCTACCCAATTCCCTCATGTACTCTACATATAAATAATCCCCTTTTCCCCCGTACCTGGATGAATAGTAACTTGAGCAGAACCTCCTCTTCTTTTTCCTTAAACGGTAGTCAAAATTCGGGCAGAACTTTCTCTTCTCTCTCCTTAAATCGGGACCGGAACTAGGGTAGAACCTCCACCCCTAAGCTCCTTCCATCAACAGCAGGAAGTAGAGAGAGAAAGAAAAGAGAGAAGGGAGAGAAGATGAGAGGTGTGAGGATTTGAGAGGGAGGAGGGGCCTTTTTATAGGCATTTTCGCGGACCTATCCGGAACGGCCGTTCCGAAAAGTGGAACGCCCGTTCTGGACCCTTCAAATCTACGCAAAATTTTCAACTGGAACGGCCTGTTCTGAAATCAGAACGGCCCGTTCCAAAACCCAGCAGAACGCCCCGTTCTCCTTCTGGAACGGCCCGTTCTGCAAGGAGAACGCCCCGTTCTCCTTCTGGAACGGCCCGTTCTGCAAGGAGAACGCCCCGTTCTCCTTTGGAGAACGGCCCGTTCTGGGCCCGTTCTGGACATCCCAAAAATACACAATTTTATCATTTGGAACGGCCCGTTCCACATTTGGAACGGCCCGTTCCAGAAACCAAAAATACCCCAAAAACTTTAACAAAATTACGAGAATGCCATTAAAAATTACGAAAATGCCATTAATAATAAGTTTACAAAAATACCCTCATTCCTTTATTAAAATTACGAAAATACCATTACTAATTACGAAAATGCCATTAATACAAAAATACTCTTTATAAAAAATTGGGGTGTTACAATTCTTCCCTCCTTTTAGAAATTTCGTCCTCGAAATTTTGCAATGGTAAATTCTTCGCTTCTTACTTCTAATTCTTATGCAACCTCACTACCTACAACTCTATTCATTTTACCAAGGAAATCTAAGGGTAAGACAAGTAAATTTTAAGGAATCTAAATCAATCTCTTAAATGTCTCAAACAAACCTATAATTAAGGTCTATCCATTCACCATCTTACTTCCAAAATGAGACGTCTAATTGCTACAAAATTTGTAAAGATTTCTTGTATACTAAACACGAGTATATGATTTCTTTTCTCTTCACCTTAGGTCACTACACTTCCGCTGCGCAACTCTGATACATCTTAGTAGTTCGTAAATATATTTCAAGAACACTCGTATGTCTTTACTCTAAAATCATCTTTCTTAATTCAAGGTTACTAAACACCCAAATTGGTTCTTGCTCCTCAAAACAACATTGATTTCTACTCAGAATTGGTTATCTATACTTCTACCAATCTTCTCCACTTGGTTCTAAGAAAGGATCTGACTCCTAAGCTTCTCTAATCTCATCCATTAATTCACTAGTTACTTTCAGCATAATCCATTCAATGCTTCTAAGGGTAATCTCACTCATCTAGCATAAGTCTCTAAATTCTTCAATCAAATCCAACCCTTAAATCATCAAAATGATATATCAGAGGTCATCATAATCGAGGTATCTGCTACAATATTGGTTTTACTTCTATGGTTATCTCTAAAGATCAAGTACCTAAGTGTAAGTTCACTAGGTATACGTATCAGATCACTAATTTCACCACTCCATCTACACCCAAGTCAAATTCTTATCCATCACCTTATCCTATAATCTCATATCTTGTTATCAAATGAATCAACTAATTATGCTTCTCCAATTTCTTTCAACGATCCACTTAGTATTCGAGTCATACCTAGTTTTACACTATTAAGAGTAATCTCATAAGTCAAACTTAAATCCCTAATTTGAATCTCTAATCATAAAGGAAAATAAATATAAAGATTTCCTACTCAAAATATCGGTTACCACAATGACTTTACTCAAATAACAACTAAGTTTGAAATATTAGTCCTCTTAGAAGTTTAAACTTAACTTAACTCTTTCAGTCAACAAATAATTAAGGCTCTAACGATCAATAAATACCTCAAGCTTATAATTATATAGGCAATGTCTCTAAATATTACAACCGTTAACTTAAAATCATAAGTAAGGTAATTCCTATGATGAGTTTTCAGTTGCCTAGAATCACAAGCCACTATCTTTCCTTCTTGCATCAACACTCCACTCAAACCTATTTTAGAAGCATCACAATAAACCACAAAAGTCAAGCAATACTAAAACAGGTGTACTAGTCAACTTTTCCTCAAGGGCCCGGTAAACTATCCTTGCATTTACTATCCTATACAAACACAACTCCTTTCGTAGTCAAACTTGTCAAGGTAATGCTAACTTGGAGAATCCCTCTATGAATTTTCTATAGTATTCAGCCAATCCAAGGAAGCTCCTAATTTCACTAGCTAACTTATAGGCAAACAAATTAAGTCAACCATGAATTCTCTACCATCAATAGTCAAGGGACACTTTGGACAGACATCAGAAGTGATCACTGAACCATTAGTGGGTGTCTCTACTATTAGTTCAAAAGACAAGGAAAAAAAATAGGTAATTTAGACATACACGTGATATAAAAGAGTGAGTCGCACCAGTCATATAAAACAATTAGAGGGGTTCCATTGATGAAACACATACCCTGGATGAAATCTTTGGATTAAGTAGCTTCAACACCACTCAAGGCAAATACTCTTCCTGTGGCTCTAGGCTTGCTAGCGCTCCCTTCAACCTCTGTTGTTTCTTTCTTATTCTTGGGGCACTCCCGAGCTTTGTGTCCCTTCTCGTAACAGTTGTAACATGTTATCACTCTTGGTACCCAACACTCATATGCCTTATGACCTGTCTTCCCACAGTTGAAGCAATTATCGCGTGGAACAGAACCCTCACTCCCCCCTTTTGATGTTTGTCCAACCATTGGAGATTGACTCTTTCGTTGCATCGAATCTTGATTATTCACCTTAGAACTTGAATTCCCAGTAGACTTGGTGTAAGGTTTACTTTTACCTAAAGCACTAGAATTTGTGGTACGCATAGGACCTCCAGCTCCCTTGTAATAGTCAGCACGTGCACGATTGTCACGGTCGTAAATTCTACTCTTGTTGACAAGAGTCGGGTAGTGATAAATTTCTTGATAATTGATTGCTGTTTTTATCTCAGGGCGAAGGCCATTCACGAACTTAATACACTTAGCCCTTTCGCCATCCTCACCATGGTAATGAGTACAGTAGCGAACCAAGGCATCAAATTTTGCAGCATACTCTGCCACTGTGTCATTCCCTTGCTTTAGTTCAAGAAATTCAACTTCCTTCTGGCTTCTTACATCATCCGGGAAATACTTCTCAAGAAAAACCCTCTTGAAGTTGTCCCAATTCAATTGCATTTCTCCATCAATCATCCTTTGAAGTGCTCCTTCCCACCAAAAATGGGCATCAGCAGTCAACATGAAGGTAGCCAACCTCACTTTCTGAGTGAAAGGACACTCCATGGCATTGAAAATCTTTTCGATTTCCATTAGCCAATTCATCGCAACATCTGGGTCATATCCTCCTTGGAAAGTAGGTGGATTATTTCGTTGAAATCGCTCTAACCAATTAGGAGCGATTTCAGTCCTATAGTTGTTACTTACAGCTTGTGCTAATGCTTGAAGAGCATCAGCAATTGCACGATCATTCCTACCAGCCATAATCTAAGAAAATAGTACACAATCAAATAAACAACAGACATAAGGAATTATCATACTAGCATTAGTGTACTAACATTTCACAAAATACCTTAACCATTCCAAACTCACTTTTTTCCACTTTAAACTCATATTCAAGCTTTTCAAAACAGCTCACAAAGGACTTAGAGAATAAAATTTACATACTACCTAAACCATAAAGTTAACATGCAAGCACCAATACTCAAGGAACATTCCAATCTCTCATCAAAATATCAAAACTCCAATTCTCAAATACAACCACCTTTGATTCAATTGCTTACTACTATAGATTCCTAAATTCCATTAACCGTAAACTCTTAAATCATCCAAATTTAAGGTCTTTTTACGTAAAAAAAAAGTATCAAACAAATAAGAAATTATGAAAAGATCAATCAAAAATAGCATCATCAAATTATATCATGTCTATCAGACAAATCTTGAGAATACAATGCACACAAATAAATAAATAAGAACATAATTAATCATCTCATTAGCACATCAATCAACTCATCACATTATTAATCTACCAAACAAGCATAGTAGACTCATTACTCACGGCCGATTGGATCGCCCGGCTCTGATACCACTAAATGTGACACCCTTACTACCCCAACACATATATAAAAAAATTATAATACATTTAAGAAGGTTAAATTTTCTAAGTTGGTAAAAGGGTTCACATAAAAATTCGACAATCACATTAATAGAGATATAAAACATAAAACACAAGAGTTTTACAAATTGTTTTCAAAACAATATTACAGTGCCAAATACACATAAATATTTCATCCTAGAAATCCTCTGCCCCGATGAGAGCATTCCCAGAATTTTAACTGTTGGCATCCTAGATGCCACTCGTAGCTGGATCTTCTTCTCCTAAAATATCCACAGTTTATACGGTGAGAAAAGAAAATATCTATATGCAAAGTACATACAAACACATCACAATATAATCTCATAATAACTCATTATTTAATAAAATATTCATAAGCATTTATCTATATATATATGTGTGTGTGTGTGTGTGTATCATAATTTATCAACCATTCATCATATTCACATCTCAATTCACAATTACATCAATCCATCACAATCCACTTGAACATTACAATTCATTCATAATCCACACAAATTTCACTATGTCAAGGTCACGCTACCCTTTTTCCAACCTAGGGCCGTGCTCACCCCTGACATAACACTGTGCCAAGGTCACGCTACCCTTTTTAGTAGCCTAGGGCCGTGCTCACCCCTGACATAATACTGTGCCAAGGTCACGCTACCCATCAGCTTAGGGTCGTGCTCACCCCTGGTCATCAGTACCATAATCACATCTCATTCACATCTCAATCACATTCCACACTTCTCATTTCATAACTCAAATTCACATCACGTACATAATTCCACATCACATACACATCACATACACAACAGATAAGCCCAACAAAATGAGGGTTTACACACCCCTCAAGCAATTCACATCAAGATCATCCATTCTTAACGAGTAATATAGCAATAATATTCATAAATTATAATAATCAATAAGATAATCAATTTAATATAACAGTGAAACTCATAATTATTCCAAATTCTAGTTCACAGCATTTATGATTTCTTCTTTCTTCCCAGATCATTATTCCTACAATTTGGCATATCTATAGACCTCAACACATAATTTCAATAGAACTAATGATTCTTCAAATAAAATAATTATAAAATCATAATCCTAAGAAATTCTTCCTCTACCCAATTCCCTCATGTACTCTACATATAAATAATCCCCTTTTCCCCCGTACCTGGATGAATAGTAACTTGAGCAGAACCTCCTCTTCTTTTTCCTTAAACGGTAGTCAAAATTCGGGCAGAACTTTCTCTTCTCTCTCCTTAAATCGGGACCGGAACTAGGGTAGAACCTCCACCCCTAAGCTCCTTCCATCAACAGCAGGAAGTAGAGAGAGAAAGAAAAGAGAGAAGGGAGAGAAGATGAGAGGTGTGAGGATTTGAGAGGGAGGAGGGGCCTTTTTATAGGCATTTTCGCGGACCTATCCGGAACGGCCGTTCCGAAAAGTGGAACGCCCGTTCTGGACCCTTCAAATCTACGCAAAATTTTCAACTGGAACGGCCTGTTCTGAAATCAGAACGGCCCGTTCCAAAACCCAGCAGAACGCCCCGTTCTCCTTCTGGAACGGCCCGTTCTGCAAGGAGAACGCCCCGTTCTCCTTCTGGAACGGCCCGTTCTGCAAGGAGAACGCCCCGTTCTCCTTTGGAGAACGGCCCGTTCTGGGCCCGTTCTGGACATCCCAAAAATACACAATTTTATCATTTGGAACGGCCCGTTCCACATTTGGAACGGCCCGTTCCAGAAACCAAAAATACCCAAAAACTTTAACAAAATTACGAGAATGCCATTAATAATTACGAAAATGCCATTAATAATAAGTTTACAAAAATACCCTCATTCCTCTATTAAAATTACGAAAATACCATTACTAAATACGAAAATGCCATTAATACAAAAATACTCTTTATAAAAAATTGGGGTGTTACATGTTGTGCACCGGAGGTTACCACACATGCATATAATAGGGATGGCAATGGGACCCCATGGGGGCGGGTAATAGTAAATCCGTTCCCGCCCCGCTGGATGCAAATTGGCCCCATACCCACCCCATATCCTTGCGGGTATCCATTAAGCGGGTATCCATGAATTTCTTGAATGCCCACGGATATCCATAGATATTTATAAATTTTTTTAAGAAATTAAAAAAATTATATTACAAATAATTTATATTTAATGTCAATGAAATATTAAAAATAAAAATTCAATGTTAATTTTGAACTTGTATTTAATGTTAATTTTGTTGAAATAATAATAAAAATGCAAGATAATCATTAACTTAAAATACATCAATCTCACAAGTAAGTGAAAGTCTCATATCACAAAGATGAGAGAGTATAGTTTTAGGGTTATGTGGTACAAGGATAATTAGGATATTTAAGAAATATTATTAAACGGGTACCTGTGGGTATGGATATCATCATACCCGCCCTCGCCCCGTTTATAAACGGATAAAAAATTATCCGTCCCTACTATCTGCGGGTACCCGATTAGTCTATCCATTTATTATTCGTAGCGGATTTTACCCGTAGATACCCGCGGGTGCGGGTATTTTTGCCATCCCTAGCATATACACATGTCTCCACATTTGTGAGATATTGTTCGCTTTGGGCTTATCAACGGAGTCAAGTGTGTGTGTATAAACCCATGTCCATCCTCTTGTTTGAACGATGTGAGACTTTGCTTGCATCCTGTAACACCCCAATTTCTTTAAAAGGATATTTTTATTAGTAATGGCATTTCTGTAATTACTGAGGACATTTTTGTAATTTTATAAAGGTATTAGGGGCATTTGAGTAACTCGGAACGGGCTGTTCCGAAAGTGGAACGGGCCGTTCTGAGCATTAAAAATAAGCTAAAATTTTAGGTTGGGAACGGGCCCAGAACGGGCCGTTCCAACAAGGAGAACAGGCCGTTCCGGAGGGAGAACGGGCCGTTCTGCTGAGATTGAGAACGGGCCGTTCTGATTTTAGAACGGGCCGTTCTGCTTTTTGGGAACGG